CTAAATTAAAATTTTATTGGTTGTGGCTTTTATCTGGTTGTAACTTTTATCTTAAAACTTTATAAACAAAAAAGAACTTCCAATTTAATTGAATTAAATAAAAGATTTCAATTTAGCCCTAAAATCTAAGCCAAATTGAATTTGTTGGTTTGAGGGGAATGGGAGGGAGGGAAGACAATACTAATGATCTATTGGTCCAAGTAAAAATTTGTTTTTTTTTTTTGTTTTAATAAAATATTGAATTTGAGTTGAATAAAGTAATAAGAGTTTGAAGAACTTTCCTTAAAAGCTCACATAATTTGACTCTAAATTAATTAACTCTAATTTAGCTTCTAAATATGCAGAATTTAATAAAGAAAACGAAAAAAAGAGAGAGTAGAGATAACATCCTTCTGTTTTACTTTCTTTCTCTCGTCTCCTCCTCTCCCTTCGTTTGGGTAATTTTATAAAGAAAGCTCCTCATCCCCACCCTTCCCTTCCCCTTTCAATTTTTATCATTTAAATAGAGAAATTTCCTTTCCTCCAACCTAACAAATTACAAGGACAAATAATACTTTCATTATGAAATCCAAACTCATTACAAGGACAAATAATACTTTCATTATGAAATCCAAACTCTTCTTTAGAGAAATATTATTTCTTTAAGAATAGTGTATATCAATTTAAATTCTTAAATATTTTGAGAGCTCTATATTCTAAATATTTTCATTTCAAATGCTAAGTATAATGACAAAGCTAAGTACTTAATAAGTAATAATTTCCTCACAATTAAAATAAAAGACCTCAAAGATGTGAGTGAAGTGATTAAAAATTAAAAGATAATTATCTTTTAGTGTAATTTTTAAGATAAAAAAATACAATAACAAAATTCTTTTTAGGACTAAGCATCAAATCTTTATACTTTATACTTATTATTGATTAAATCAAGTACAAATATAAAGAGATACCTTATCTATACATTTAGCTACTCACCTCTAACGCATAGGTCGATGAACAGATAATATGACAAGGTCTGGGTTGTTGAGTTAGCAGCTATTTTCAATTTTTATTTAAACATTCATGCTTTGGCCCAAAAAACGAAAATTAATGCATTCACTTTCACACTCTTGGTAATATTTATTAATTTTGTAATTATAACTATAATATTATATAAAATTATAAAATTATAATTATAATATATTATTATA